TGTGGACCAGGAGCTTGTGACTTTGTTCTTGAGGGAAGGAGGCGGCCTGCTGGCCAGTTCTACAGCCCATCGGCCAGGCCCTGTGCCCATCGGCCAAGACCTCTTTCCATCGGCCATCAGTGGTGGCCGGTAGGCATCACTGATGGCCGGTCGGCACCTTTAATGGCCGGTCGGCCATTTTGTTGGCCAAGGCCCCTTTTTCTACTTTTGTACATATTTTTCTTCCAGTTGGTGCCAGCTGTTGATCACTTTGTGTATCCTCCATACACGTGTATGGATGGATTCACAAAAGCTTTAGCTTGTCAAGGAAGCTTTAGCTTGTGTTTTTCTATATAAGGGGAGGCCTTCCCCCTTCTCCAGGGTTTTGAAATCTTGCATTAGGGCTATACATATCCCTCTCTCTATATATTTCTCCATCTCTCTATATTTGCCCTTGTTTGTGCTCAAAAGTGCCATTTCTTCGCACTTTTGCACACAAACACCTAGTGAAACACCTTCACTCTTGAGCTAAGGTTCATGGAGGTTGCATTTGAGTGGTTTTAGCTTGGTTTTAGCCTCTGGAGTTGCTGTTCTGAAGTGGTTCTTCAAGGGTGAGTCTTTAGCCCCTTTAAAGCTTTGTCTTCATTGTTCATTTGGCCCTATTTGCATGATGTTTCAGGCCAAGATTTCAACTAAAAAAAGTTATGTATTTAAGTGCTTAAAATGTTTGTTTAAGGCTTTGTTTGAGTTAGGGATGGTTTACCCCCTTTGGTGCCTTCTTTGGCTTTGTTTTGTGCCATCTCTTTAGGCCTTTGAGGTCATCTCCTTTTGGCCTTACTACCACTAAATTCCAGGGGAATTTCAGTGGTGGAAATGTGGTTTTGAGGTCTTAAATGGGTGGGGCTTGTCCCCCCTCCTCTTCTTTTGTTTGCTTGTGTTAATGGCTCATCAAAGTAGCATGTCTTTCTAGCATGTTTTGGCTCCATCTCAACATGCCTTAGGCCTTATTTTAACATGATACAGCTATGTTTTGGCTTGGTTTGATTACCTCTTGCATGCTCATTGCACTTGTAGTGCAATCCTCCTTATAGCCTTAACATGCATCATGCTTTGGACCATCATTTTAGCATGTTTTTGGCTCCACTCTAGCAAAATTTTACTCATGTTTTGCCATGCTTAAGTTTTGTTTTAAGTGTTTTTGGTCATGCATGTCTTGCTTTGTATAGCCATAGTGCAACCTTGCTCACTAGCTTTGAGTTTCATAGTCTCTAGCGTGGCTTACTTGAGTTGTTTGCATGCTTTGGCCTCTTTTCTACCATGATTTCAGTGTATGAAGTGTGGTCATACTCTCTCGTGCTTCACTCTTTCAATGCTTTTAGAGAGTTATGATTTATGCCTTAAACATGAGCCAATATGTATGCCATCTTGCCTAAGCTTTTGGGCTACCATTTCAATGTGTTTTAGGCCTTATTTTGCCATGGTACAACTCTGTTTTTGGTTGGTTAGAGCATCCCTCATTTGCTTCTTACACTTGTAGTGTAACCATGCTCATTGGCCTTGCATGCTTGGTGTTTTGGCTTACCATGCTAGCTTGTTTTGGCTTCATTCCGTGCACCTTTATACCCTATTCATGGGCCAATGCATGAGCATGCATTTTATTGCTTTCAATGCTAGCATTTCAGAGCATTTTGGCCATTATTTTGGCATGCATGAGGACTGTTTAGGATTGGTTTAGTCCATTAAGCATTGTATTGCAAGCCTCTTGTATGATGCTCTTTACTTGCTTTGGTGCTTTAGCCTCAAACATGCCATGCATGCATTGTCCACATTATAGAATCTTGTACATGTCATTAGCATTGATAGGCATGTTATGTGTGTCGCATTGTGTTTGGATTCGATGTCAATCCAAACACGAGGAATGTCGCACGTTTCATACTTGAAGTGATGAAACGCACCTCATTTCTCAGTCGCCGACCCTCTTGATCAAGCATGATAAAGGTTGAGGCCCTTATGTGTTATTTGTGTGCATTTATTGACATTGACTTGTGCAACTTGGCCTCTTTGGCCTTCATGCATTGAGATGCGTGATTGGTGGCTCGAGAACCGAGCACTACACTCCTTTGAGCTTGAGACATGATAAGGAGTGTAGTGGCACACACATTTCCTTGCAAATACACTGCCATGCCTCTATTTGTGCAATGTTGCAGCAAAACGAGAAATTACAGGAAGCAGTGGCCGACCAGCCATCAAATCCAGCCGACCGGGCACCAGTATTGGCCGATGGCCATCTCTCTAGGCTGACCATCCCTCAGCATGTTCCTAGGTGGGTCAGAAACATTCTGGAAGTTGGCATAATTTTCAAAAGTACAGAAGTGTGCAAACTGAGGCATTTAGAGGCAAGGTGGTGGATTTCCAGGAGGACGCGACCGAGCATGCATGCCTTCCTCACTCATGAGGCCATTTTACCGCTTTACTAGCTAGGTGTAGTTAATTACATGTTTTGTAATTAATTAGTTTAATCTGTGTTGTAATATTTAATTAGCTTAGATTAGTTGGTTATTCAATTCATTTTGGTTTGTAATAATTAGTTAGCTAAATTGGTTAAATAGTTAGCTTAATTAGTGTAGCTAGTTAACTTTCATTTCATTCTGACCCTCCTGCGAGAAGGCGTATTGTTGTAATAAGGGTGCGTGCGTGTGTGCATGTCTTCCAACCCCCATTTCTTTCTCCCTTTTACTTAACCGCTTTCGATGGTTAGTTTAGGGTCATTTTCGATTAGCATACATTATGCTTGCATGTTTGCATCATTCATTTGTCTTGCATGCACCAGGCTCGGCGCATCATTCCAACTACATTGTATTTCAATACATTTACTTGAATACATGTATCAAATTGTAGCATTCATATGCCATCTTAGAATAGCCGAGCCTAAATTTACATAATTTTATCTTTAGTAGGTAAAATAATTTTTAAAAATTCAAAAAAAAAATTGACATTTATTTTTGTCAAATTAGTTTACATTTTATCAAATTGACGATTTTGTTGTTAAAATTAAATAATTGTCCTTATTTAAAACAAGATTTAAAATTCATGATTAAATGTATTACAATTAAAAAATTAAGAATTAAAGTGACACAAATTCTAAAGTGCAGGGACCATTACTGTAATCCGCCTTGTTTGTTTACTCCACCTGTCAATTGTGTGAACAAAATAATTTTCTTTCATTGCATTCACCTCAAAAGGAAGGGAGACATATTATTGGGTAATCGAGGGGGTGTCATTTAATATTAGATACGTGGTGTATTCTTATTGATATTGGATACATGGTGTGCACTTAATCAATGGCACAGTGGTAAACTTTAGGGTTGACTTTTATTATTATGTTACATTTTTTCTATTTGTTTACATATTTTAAATTCAATCTCAGCATTAATTTTTTTTAAAATATATAACCAAATTTAAGGGTGATTTAAGATTTAAAATTAAGCTAACTTAACTTACTAACTCACACATCTCTTGCCAGGTTTGAATAAAAAAACCAACTTTGAATAGGTGCCACAGTGCCAGTTACATCAGATAATGAGAACATATTTGAACAAGGGTGTACTAGAAAACAATGAGCATAAAATAAACAGTCAACATGATAAGGGGACCATTTATGAGTTTCTCTAGTTAAGGTCCACATACTAGAATTTAAGACCCCACTTGTCCTCCTCAGACCCCAAGTTTCTAAAAACATTATTCATTTCAAAATCTCACACTCAAAATTCAAAAAGCTTCACAACAAAGGAAGCTAAAAAATCTACAATTTCAATGCACATGCTTCAAAACTTCCATTCACAAGTTTTTAAAATGAGTTTTGAATTATATTTCGAAAGATAAGTTATTGAAAAAAGTTTTAAAAATTAAATATTATTTGGTTGTGAGTTTTTAAAATAGTTTTTGAATGATTTGTAATTTTTTTTTTAGTTGAATACATGAAAGTGAGAAAAAAATTTAATTAATTGATGTGTAGAATGTGAAAGAATGAGAGAGGAGAAAGAAAAAATAATTGATTGATTTATTAATAATAAAAAAAAAGAGAGAGAGAGAGAGGGGAAAGAGAAAATTGAGTTTTGAGTTGTATTTTAAAAAATTGTTGACCAATCATACTTTTTTATTTTTTCATCCAAATCATATTTTAAAAACTAAACCAAACATTACCCTAATCTCTTTACAAAATTATTGAGAAAATTACAAATTGAACTCAAAAATTTGATCACTGTAATAAATCTTGACTTTTTGGTTTAGTTGTTTGGTTATGGAGAATTGATAGAGGGATTTAATCCAGTGTCATCAGGCGGATTATAACATTATTATAGGCATCACATCTGATGGATTGTTGATGAATGCAGATGAGTATAGATTGGATTTGAAAATGGGAGATGGTGTCATGTGATGTGTGCATCAAAAAAAATTCTCTTATAAATAGGTTAATGGAAAAAGTCAGACAATTATTTGATACCACCACTTCAAAATCTTTTAATTTGATTTTTTTTAAAAAAAGACTCGAGATTTGATTTGTTACAATAGTCTGGTAATACCCAATTTTATTTTATTTTTTTTGGGTGCTTAATTTGGCTGAATAATACCTCCTTTTTTAAGGGGTAAACCTCATTTAAGAAAAATATATTTCCTTATTGGTTACCCACCTATCAAGTGAGTAAAAAATAAAAAAAATTTCCACAAAACTAATATGGGCAAAGGATAATCAAATACAGTAGAATTTGCAACTAGGGTTTTAGCCCCCATTATTTCTATGTTTCATGGACAACATTGAAAATTCAAAGGAAGCTATAAATCCACAGTGCTTCAAAACTTTCAACCACAAACTAAACTTGTTACAAGAAATAATAGGGGTAAAGGGCGCTAATCAAATAACAGCACTTTCAATCTAGAATTTGCAGCTAGGTTTTTAGGCCTAAAACCCTTTTATTTCTATGTTTCATAGATGACATTCTTTATCTAGCATTAGCCACTGCCTATTTCCCTAACATGGATTTAATCCACCAAACTCCTTTGGTGTCCTTGGGGCCTTCTTCTCCCTCTGGTGGGGGATTAGTGTGCTGTGTCTTCTTAAGCTTGCTCACATCATACCCTTCTTCTTTGGCCTTCTCAACAAGCTGATTGTAGGTCTCTTCATCAAGATGGTTCTCCCTGCATAATATCTAAAACCAAATAACACCACAAAAGAAAAGAAAAGATTAACAATGAGAAATTGAGTTATTGAGTAACCAAATACATAAAACTTGCAAAAATTTCATTGAAACTACAAGCTATCTTCAGCCTTTCATTAACCAAACTCTGATCAACATCATCATTTTGTATGAAAATTTGGTTCAATTTTTGTGTTTGCACAACATTACTCAAAGCAATAAACAACCATAGATAAACGAGGAAACCAAAATTCAAAATAACTTTCCTATATATATACATACAATCTTGTGAGCAAAACTATATAGGAAATCTCAAATTCATACAAGGAAAAGAATAAGTATCTCCCATAATTTTTACTGCCAAATATACAATGCCTTTCTTGATAGTCTCTTAATTTTTACTCAATATTACCTTTACTTCCAATAATCAAGATAGAAGAAGAAAAACCCATGTCAAGAACTGAGATTAGAAGGTCAATAACCATGCTAAAAACCCATAGAAACATACAATCAGAACAATTACAAACATACATTCTTACAAATATTCATAACATTTTTAGATTTTTGTTTTCATTGCTTCATTCTTTTTCTCCATAATAGAAATCGGCAGTGATTTAGACCCCCAAACTTCAACCCCCACCACTCCACACACACGTGACGGGTGGTGATTGAAAAAAAAAAAAAAAAAAAAAAAAAAAAAAAAAAAAAAAAGCCAGAAAAAAAAAAAAAAAAAAAAAAAAAAATCAAAAAGAGAAAAAAAGAAACAAAAAGGATCTTCTTGTTTTTTCGATGATGGCCACACGCCGACTTCACTTATTCGGCTCCTCTGCCGAGCTCTTCCTCTTTTTGTCATCGACCCTTGAAGGCCTTGCCTCAGTGCTTAAAGGACCATCGAGAGAGTTGACTCCTTATTGGCCGTCAAAAGCAAAGCACGAAGGTGCTCCAAATCGGGCCATGATGGTGGCCTTCCGTTTCAACTCTTTGTTCTCTGCCTTCAACGCGCAAATTTATGCTCGCACATCTTTGTACATGCATTGGAGTAGAGAGAGTTGGGAGTTCAACTGTTGTACACCACTTGTCCTATTCTGCAGCCGGTGAGACAACTTGGAGACCACAGTCATTGTCTCCATGCAGGACTTCAGCGTAAAATGGTTGGCCTCAATGTTAGATTGAGCTGCCATTATTTGCTCGATTGATAGCATAGGAAAGTTAAGAGGAGTAAAAGTAGGAGCAGGGGCACTCGGTCCAGGAGAGCTTATGGGATCATTTAGATTTGGAAAGAGAGTGAGGGGACGGGATGAGGAGGCCATGTGTTAGAGTTGAGAGGTGTAAAAGAAAGGAGGGTCAGAGAAATGGGAGAGAGCAGACTGAGTTCTATCTCTCTGATTCTCTCTATTTTGTCTCTCTCACAGAAGAAACAAAGAAGAAGACATAAGAGAATGAAGAAGGACGAAGGAAGAGAAGAAGGAGATGGAAGAAAGAAAAGAAGAAAAAGACGAGAGAGAAAGACAAAGAGGGAGAGAGGGCCGAGGCATTTGTCGGCCAGTTGACACCGACTGACGCAAAAAAGTAAGGCCGCGTGTCAGACGTGGTTTTCGAAGGAAGAGAGAGAGGCTGGAGAGTTATATACATATATGTATATGTATTGTATATTTATGTATTATATACATATTTATTTGAATTTTTGTTACAAGAGTGGCTTTGGCTCAGTGGTTGAAGGCTGAAAGGTCGGGGGGGTCAAACCCCACAACAATTGTTTCTTTTTGTTTTGTTTTGGTTTTGTGTATATATGTCTTGTATAAGTATATGTATCTTTATTTGCATATGTTGTCACAAGAGTGGCATGGCTCAGTGGTTGAGAACTCGAAGGATAAGCCTGAGGTTAGCGGTTCAAAACCCCGTATCCCTACATCCATGCATTTTGTTCCTTTCTTTTTGCGTGTTTTGCGCACGCATACCGTATATATCTCCTGTATATGTCTATGTATATATCCGTACATGTATAGGTAAATCCAAAAAAAAAAAAAATCATAAATTAATCAAATCAAACAAAAACAAAGAAATCATTCTACTATACCTTCTTACATTTGCGCGAGACGTGTTTGGACTTCAAATTTAGGATTTCATCCCTATCCGATTAAAACCTTCGTCCTCTCTATATGAACTACGGTTAGTTACGCCACCCCAATTTCTCACATTGCATTGTCTTGTGCACCCCAATTTCTCACATCGCACTATTTTGTGCATCTCAAGCTTAACTTTAAATATTCCTCCTCTTGCGAATGGAGCGATTGGAGTTCAAATATTCCTCCTCTCGCGAATGGAGCGATTGGACTTCAGATATTCCTCCTCTCGCGAACGGAGCAATTGGACTTCACTATTCCTCTGTAATGACCCTTATCGTCATCTTAGACATGTTCATGTGCATCTGCATGATTTTGTTTTGTTAAGCTTTCACTTGTAGATTTTGAATTGTTTTGCCTAAGTAAAGGCCCTTGTCTTGTTTTGTGCTTATGTGATTTGCTAAGTATTGCTTGTATGCTTTGTTCCTTGCTTGGTGAGCTAAGCCTAGGTCACTCCTTAGAACCTCTAACACCTCGGACCATCTTGGAACCACTTCGGTTGACCCCCACTTTCACCCTGGCATATTGGCCGAGATGTCATCATCTAGGCCGAGGTGTGCATCGCCTAGGCCGAGATGTGTATCATCTAGGCAACCAACATGCTTGATCCTTGCACCTAGTGATCTTGTTCCTGGACTAGTATGACCTAGACCGAGGTGTGGCACAGCTAGGTCAAGTGTTATCCTTCCTAGCCGAGATCATTGAAACCTTCTCACCGAAGCCTATGTCTTGATCCGAGGTCATTTCCTTGTCAGAGTGCCCTTGTCACCTTACTTGTTGTACACCCTTTGTCATGCTTTTGTCTTGTCCTTCAATCACCTTTTTGAGGAAATCCACTCTGGTAGTGCCACGTGTCCCAACAGAGGGTTAAGTTAGCCGGCAGTAGAGAAAACATATCATTTTGCTACACCTTTGTCCAAGAAAAGAGAGAAGCTCTAGGAAGAGAGAAAGAAAGAGTTCTTAAGAGAGAAACAGATTTCCAAGCTTGATCCTTAGAGTTTAAACAGTTTGATTTGTGTTTTGAGGTTAGATTTGTGATTTACTCTCGTTGTTCTTTATGTTTATTGGATCACATTACATGATCTAGCATGATTCATGAGCCATGCATTGATTTAAAGTTTGGTTTTAGAAAGAGAAAATGAAGTTCTTGTGTTCTTGAAGAAAAGCCTTGTTTTGATCCGAAAGTTTGTATTAAGATCCATGTTTCTGTGTTTGTTTTCATGAAATCTCTAACTACAGGTACCCAGGTCCATGTTTTTGAACTCGTCTCATGAAATCTCAGATTTTGAATAAAGAAGTTATGATTTTGGCATTCACGATTCTTCATGTTCATGTTCTTCATGTTCTTCAAGAGGAAACCCAGATTTCCCAGATTTCATTTCCCTAAGTGTGGGCACCGAGACCCACTCTTGCCTAGATGTCACACCTAGGCCAAGCATCGTGTCTCGCCTTGGCGTACCTTCCATGATCACTTGCACCTTAGTCTATCTTGCGTGTGCACCTAAGCCTAGGAGACCACACCTTGGCCAAGAGGTGTGGGACCTCGGCCAGGACCTGGTTGGTACCCAGCATGTTTTCCCGAGACGAAAAACAGTGTTTTAACTCTCAACACATGTTTTGCTTTGTCTTGACTTAGTTTTGAAAGACATGCCAGGATCATTTACACTCATGTAAAACTTGTTCTCGGGATGCATTTCATATCCATGTTTGAGCATCTCTTCTTGTATTCTTGAAATGCATTCAATGGGATTTATTATGTGCTTGTAGGCCTTGGATCCTTGCTTTAACCACCACACCCGAAGAGCTATGTGAGTGGTATTTTTTAATAAAGCTATGTTCTAATGTCTTGATGAAAGCTTTGCTTGTTTCGTTTTGGAAAAGTGTTTATTCATGTATGAATGATTATCCATAGTTTTTGTATCAAGTATTATCTTGTTTTGATAACATTCTTGGAAAGTCTTTAGTGCTAGGGGACTATAATGCAACTAGTACCCTTGTTTGAGATATCTCCCTTGCCATCGACAGCCTTGTGCGGGTAGGTTTCTCTAATCGATTCCGATTTCCTTGTTTTGTCAGGAATGTCATCCCTTGAAGCTTTGAAAGACTTGATAGATGAACTTGGTTCACCCCTTGATTTGTACAAGCTATGATATGTATTGTTTTGATAAAGATCTCAGATATTATTCATTTAAACCTTTGTTACTAATATCATTCACTGAGTATCCAAGTTCACCCCCTCCTTATATATATGTAGGTGATGAGCAAAAGGGGGCTGCCACCTAAGCCTTGTTTGAAAGATGTTTTGGCTTCATGTTTTGTATCATCTTGAAGATTATGCTTCTTAGCTTCGTAGCTCATTTCTTTTGTGTATGTCGGCCTGAGAAGCCTTTTGATCAAGATGTAATTTATTTTGTATCCAAGTTGTAAAATCATTATAAGATGTATGCCATTTCATTTGAACTATGCACTGCTCTCATGGACTAATTAGATTTAAATTTATTGCTTCTGCACATGTAAGCCCCACATGTATACTCTGATTGTGTGAATCCTTGTAAGTTGGCCTTTGGTAATCTCGGATTACTGGCCATCATGGCGCCATTCTACTAGGGTCGGAATGGGGTCGTGACACCCTCCTCTCACAAAAAGACGCGTTTGGATGTCACTATTCCTCCTTTCGCAAAAAGACGCCATTGGACTTCACTATTCCTCCTTTCGCGAAAAGACGCGTTTAGACTTCACTATTCCTTCTCTCGCGAACGGAGCGATTGGACTTCACTATTCTTCATGTGAACACGGTTGGATTTATTTTTCTCTGATTTATGCTTTTGTTCAGTGTCACATCATTGTCTTCATTGCATGATCATAAGTTATGTATTGCATTTCATTGCATGATCATAAGTTATGTTTTACATGTCATTTTGCATCTTGCCCCTGAACTACGCAGGTTTGATTCCTTGCAACGGGATACGTAGGCAACCTTTGGGTTCAGCCAATTGTGTGTGCATTTGTTTGTTTTTTCCAAAGTCTTACGATCTTGTGAAATGGGTCGTCTTTAGGCTTTGACATTCACTTACGTCGTGGAATGACTTCGGGTTCTATCAAAGAAGGGCAACTGTAAACACCACAATTTTGACCACTCGCAAGACTTAGGTGCTTTATTTTGAGCACTCAATGATGACGATTACATTGGGTTAGTGGTTTAAATTCTCAATAAAAGAATCGGAGTTCGAGCTCTAAACAATTCCAACATGCCATACCCACTATATTTCTACCCCAGAATTTCAGTATTGCACCTGGTACCAACCTGTATTAAATCTGAAGGTAAGAAATAATGGAAATACACTAAAGTCCGGTCGGACCTCA